AAGCATACACCATATGTGAAATCCAAACTCTACATCCCTTTTCATCTGCCTAACCACCGGCAATTAAAAAGCATGAGCTGTATGGCAACGAAAACATGTCGCCCCTAACAAAGCCAGAGTCCCAACTTTCACAACTAATCCCTTGCGCGCACCACTGGGCCGGCGCCCTGCCTGTAAACTCTTGGCCGGCCCGTGCAAATTCATACATCCATTTACGAATTCGTCCAAATCAATAACTCCATTCTCATCTGCATCAAGGAGCAGGAACAAGCTCCACACGTCATCCGTGGATATGCCAAGGGATTCCATGAAACTGCCCATCCTGGTCATGGACTGCAAGACAGTAAGCAGCGAAGGTGTGTGTGTGTGTGCATGTGTGTGTGTGTGCATGTGTGTGTGTGTGTGCGACGTAGCTGACTAGACAAGACCTAGTCATTCTTGCACATTTGAAACATCATGCATGTTACATTCAATATGGTACCATTGGTTGCGACACCCGCGCTACATTTGCATCGCTGCACCAAGGTGTCGTTCTGTTTGCTGGTGAAGGCTCAAGATGTTTGAGCGATGTTGAACCTTTGTTGGGCCCAAGTTTCGCGTTCAGGCCGTAGGCGCTGCTTTTGAAGTACAAAAAGGTTCTTGGACCTATTTTTCACAGTAAAATCCCGTGCGCACAATCTTTGTAAAACCGAAACTGTTCTTTAGAATCCCTCGCGTGCCTGGACACCATTAGGCACACCGGGAGACAAATAAAGGGAGACATGTGAAGAGTGACATGCAGAGGCGGAGACCAGAGTAAGCACACCGCATGGGAGTCCGCTAGGCACACCAGAAGACAAATGCATGGAGACAAGGAGAAGGCCGGACACCAACACATGAAGGACAACCCCTTTAACCATGCACATCCCAACTCCGAATCCTCTCTGAAACTGTGGTCGCTCCATGTCAAAAATTTGAAACCGTCAACAGCCAATAAAAGAGGAAAACATCTTACTGTAAAGTCTGGTTTTATACAAGCCAGATCCCTCGCGGTTTTTTCTGGTCGACATGTTGAACATTAGTTTTGCATCTCCAGACACACTCTCCTTCAACCATCTTCCCCTAGAAACAAAGCCCTGAATGGCACAAAGCGCATGCGCTGATGTTGATGTTGCTGGCTGCTGGTCTAGAACTGCAAAGCCAACTGACTGCACAGTTCTCCCGCGCTCAGACTAGCCATGTTTTGGCATTCTGCGTCTCCCATCGCACCGTTTATTATTTTTGGTCGCGGTCGGGCAGCGGAGTTCTATATGTCTTTGCCGGGAATTCCGTGTCAAAACTTAGCCTTGCTACAACTCCGTCCTCGCCCACCTTTTCTTCACATCTGTCCGTCTATCAGACTTGCTTAGCCTTTTCGAGCAACACACCAAAAACAGAAAAAATGAAACTAGGCCACATCCTTTCTTTGTGGCGGGCCCTTCACCCTTTGTTACAGCAACCTTTTGGGGAAGGCTTCCAGAGCTCTTCCCAACCGGGGTTTCACCAAGGAACTTGTTGGTAGCAAGTGCTTCTTCCAGCTCATCAATGCTGACCTTCGAGCTGGAGGGCTGCGGTTTTTTGTCAAAAGTTTGTCGGTGAATGACCTGAAACCGCTATCTCTTAAAAGCCTCCAACGGCATGGTCCAAACAGATTCTTTCTCTAACTTTCATTTTCCCCACGCGACATCCTCGCAACATCCCTGCTGATGGTATCCTGACTCAATGTCTCATAACTCTTCGAAATTCTTCCAACTTTCTGCGGGATTTGAAAAAACGCCGCCACAATCACCGATTTATCATTCGCATTGCCTGCTAATGGATTTAACACCACCTGGTTGGCGTTGCTGTCATCGATCTCTTGAAAGATCTGCTTGAGATTATCCTTGGTTGGATGCCAACTGCCCCTGGGGGGGGCTTGGAGATGTTCATGCTTTGGCGGGCTGTGGAGGCCATGGCATGAGGTGCTGCTGCGAGTCCACCTGCGCCAGTCTCTTGTGCATCTGCTTCCTCAGCTGCGTTTGGTGAATCAACATCTAGTGAGTTCCATACATGGTGGTACCCAAAACAGATGGTTTATAATTCCGAATCCTATTGAGATTGGTGATTTGGGAATATCCCTTTTTCGGGAACTCTCTTTTGCATACAATCTTGCGCGTGTGCGTGTACCATCTCACTAGATGTAAAACCTGCACTCTTTTTCGACTGGTGAAGTGTCAAATTTGGAGGCGTCACATTTCTAATTCCAGTTTTCAAGGTTTTTGTTAAGTTTGCAGGGGGACACGGAAGACCAATTGAGCTGTGCCCAAGCGCTCTATGGTGTCCTTAAGGTATCCAGGCTGATCACCTGGACGTACCTGCAATTTTGCTGAGTTTCAACTTCAATTTCCGCAGACATTATATATATATGTGTGTGTGTGTCTGTGTGTTATTCTGTTTTCGTGAATGGCAACTGGCTAAGCCCAGAACCGGCGTTTCGGTATTTTTATCTTGCTGCATGGTTTCCGCAATCTGAACTTCACATGCTTATGTTTGGACCTTTTCTACAAGGAAGGGAAAGGTCAGTGGGGCCACGTTGACATCGATGGATACAACTTTGTGGACACAAGATTTTCAACCGCTGACAACTTTCTCCCTCCTGCCAGCTTTGCTGTTGCTGTTTTTGGTACGTAAGATGCAGTCCAACTTCAACATACAAAAAGCAGCTTCAAGCAAGTGTCTGTGTGTGCGTGTGTGTGTCAATGGGCGCAGGTACGAACTGCGCTCTGACAAGGCAGAATCCAAAAATCTGCTGGGTCTATGCTGTCACCTTCACCTCTATGCCTTTTTTAGAAACCTTCCGACCCTTCCGTGAATGGTAGCAAGTGTCTGTGGCTGTGTCTGTGTGTTCGTGCATTCATCCACCCTTCCTTCCATCCATCCATCCACCCAAACATCCACCTATCCATCCACCCATCCACTATCGTTTTTCTTATCTTATCATCTTATCGTCTCATTATATCTTATTCTATCGTATGACCTGACAATCCTATATAGACTTTTTACATTAAATTTGCTATCTTATCATCTTATCACCTGATCATATCTCAATGAATCATGCGATTCTTATCTTAAATGATTGCGTCTTCAAGCAACACACAAATTAGCCATTGGTCAAACTCCTTCCAGCTCTTCAGCTCGTAGTTTCATGCACCCCCCGCTACCATCATCCTCTGAATCCGAGATTGACAGTTCTCCAAAGTCAAGGCTGCACCAATGGCTATTCTGTGGTTGGAAAACGCAATTCGTAGCCCCAACTGGCTCCACATGTGATTTGGTAATTGAAATCGGGAATATGGATGCCCATAGCTCCAAACCGCTCCACAACCATCGGATAGTTGCCCAGATTCAAGGTTGCAAGGTCCTTGTCAGTGTTGGCACTCTCGATCGCCGTGTTGACGAACCTCAGAAAAATCGCATTGGCCCTGGGAAAAAAGTAAAGGACCGGATAACCCCACGTCAACTTCTTCCAATAATTACAAATAGGGGTTGAAGCCGTATGGAGAAGGGAAGAAAGAGGAGATGGTGGAGGATCGATCATTTCAAAATGCTGTATGTGAAAGAGGTGTATGAGTGTGAAAGAGTTGGGTGTCAGTGTCAGTGTAAAAGATCGTGGATGTCGCTAAATAAATACCCACGCCTGCCACGCAAAGTGCCGCGGCGCCACGGGACCAACGCGGACCAAGCACGCCAGCAAACTCAACCCGATGCCAAAATGGCCACGCCTGCCACGTGGACGTCAGCAAGTGCCACTGCCACGCAAAAGCAGTGTGGATGTCACCAAGTGCCACGCCTGCCGCGCAAAAGCAGCGTGGATGTGACCAAGTGCCACACCTGCCACGCAAGAAGGAACGCGGATGTCGCCAAATGCAACGCCAGCCATGGGCGACCAACGACCCAGTGCTGCAAGTGCCATGCCTGCCACGTAAAACGAAAGTCGATGCCACCAACTTCCAGGCCTCGCCAAACGGCAATCAATGTCACCGAGTTCAACACCTGCCACGCAGGTCCGTACTTCAGAAAACCCGTGGGAGCAAGGTGTTTGCAGGAGTAAAGTTCAATCCTAATAGGCACGTGATCAGAGGCATGCAAGGAAAGGAGGTGAGGAGCGAGAACAATGTCATGAGGAGAATTAGTAGCCATCCAATCAATTTCCTGCTGACCCTCCCACCTAGTCGGCTGACCCTGACTCAGGGTTCGACCGCCATAGGCCACCGCTAACGGGCTTTGGTCAGATGTGGCGTTAGCGTCACCAGCCAAAAGCCATTTTTCAACATCCCAACATCCCGTGGCTAAATGTATAGAATTCAGGAGCTCGCAGGCTTCGACTGCTGGATCAAGTCTCGCACCCACAGCAGGTGGAGGCGCATAAAAAGAGGCAATGAACCAATTTTCAACCCAAACTCCCAGCACCTGGGCCGAAGTTCCAGCTTCAGCAACCCAGCCAGCCGTGTTGAGCCTTTTGTCAACCAAAATCGTGACACCTCCACTGGGCCTAGAAGCACCCCATCTATCGATCATGGCAGCCCCTTCAACATGGTAAACACCGAACCCTTTTTTGTTGGCATATCTAGTAAATGAAGCAAGTTCACTCTGATTGAACCTGGTCTCTTGTAACAACAACACCATGAACTCATCATCTGGGTAAAGCGAATCAATGATTGCCCAAGCACCCCGAGCCGATTGAACATTGCAGCAATTGACCTGAAAGGAATGCGGCCCTGGGTTTGGTTCGATACCTTCACTCGTGAGGTCACGTTCCCATCCTTTGATGTTCTTGGACTTCAAAGCTTTGTCAAACCACTTCTGAGCTTCACAAACCCAAATTTCCCAAGCTTCACTGAGGTTTATCTTATTGTCATCCTGGAGCATATCCCATGCTTTACTTTGAGGAGTCAATGGACGTTCTCTAAGGCCTGTACATTGGTTTTTCTGAGTCTGGCACCAGAGCCGCGGACTACACGCCTGCAAATTTTGCAAGTGACCATGGTTCCGTACTTTATCTTTTCCTCAGTGTCCAACCTTGGCCAAGTTTCCCAATTGACTTTCACAGGTACCACATGGTGTCCTTTCGCCTTAGGAATTATACGCTCGGCAGTATATCGCTGCTTCGCTTCTCCCTGTCGTATCATACCTTCCCTGTAGTTGATGACCTTATCAGGGTCCTTTTTTGCAAGTTTCCACCTTAATGAAGTGAGCTTGCCAGCCACAATCTTCCGTCGTGGGTGGTGTGTACTATAATGCAACTTGACCGACGCCTCTTTAACCGTCTTAGATAAAGAAGGAAGGGCCATGTCACAAAACGGGCACAGCCAATCTCTTTGAGGCAAAGGAATCTGATTAGAAGCTGCAACCGGCTCCATGTATTCGCGGATGGTTCCACATTTTTCCCTTTCATTTGGATGCCTATTGGCAATGTGATTGGACCTTTTTTGGGCCAAAGTAAGTTTGCCATGGCCCGCATGAAACTGCATCAAACAGAGCTTGCAAGTCCAAGTATCTTTGGGTTTACGTTTACCCACCAAAATTGGGTTTTCATCAACACCCGCTTTTTTACATTCCCTCAAATCCACCTTACTGAGTTGCTTAACATCGCTGGAACTCGCAGCCTTAGATCGGCGGCTTGTCACCAAAGGTTTGACAACTTCTTTGCTGATGGTCCTTTTGACAGAACCCGAACTCACAGATACCGGCTTATGTGTGGCAGCCTTAGTTTTGCCCCCCAATGAGGCACTTTTTGGCGCCTCAGGTCGAACAGTGCCTGCAGTTTTTCCACCTAAGGACTCTGCTTTTGGGTTTTGACCTGAGCCACGAGTGTGGCTTCCAAGAGAACTTGCTGCCTTAGAAGCAACCGTGTGTCCACCCAGAGATGGGGCAGACTCAGTCCTTTTACCACCACCTCGTTTGGCCTCACGACCACCCTGGGTTTTTCCTGGCATCGCTTTTGTGTGCAAGGCAACCTTGGCATCCCAAGTAACTTCCAACAATTCGTAATGTTGATTGGCATAGAAGAGGAAAATCTCACGGTTAGCACCAGACGTATTGAATTGATAAACTTGTCCCGCTTCATGAAGAACAGTAATCGGCCTATCCATCGTCGAAGCAACAGCAGTGATTTTCAAATTCCCAGCCCATTCATGGACAGCACCAACCTGTTTCAGGTATGTTTCAAATCCCGTCATGCTTTTGTCTTCCATTTCCTTGTCAGAACAGTCCATACAAAAGGAAAATATTTGGTTTTGTGCCGAGTCAAATGACTAACAGCAGCTGCGCGCACAGCTCTGTGACTGTGCTCACCTCCTCCACTTTTTGCAATGCCCTGAGCTATCGCCTCAAAAAGGCAATTGCCGGCCCCCGGGTTAGGCACCCTACTGACTCCATCCGGCATGGCAGGGTTCGGCCGAACTTTCTTTTTCTCAGGACTGGTCCCGACCCCCGCAACAGCCGGCCGTTTCGTGGCTTCAGTACCTCGTTCCCCTTTGTTTTCATCGTCATCCTCCATGTGAGTGTCGCCTATCTGTTCTGACTCATCAGGTTTGTCCTCAGTCAGATCCACCACAGTCGCAGGCCTTAGAGGGACCCGAAGTTCATTCTTCAACCTGGTGTGTTGGAATCCTCTGCGATCCCTTGCAACCAGTTCGCACACGAGAAATTTGCCCGCTTGGTCAAAACTTTCTCCGTCATACAACAGCTGCAAATAAGTTTCTTGGTCACTTCTCTGAGCACGAAACATCCAAGACGTTCCCAAACGATCTCTGATTTTTGAAACAAAATCAATATTGACGAAACCAGCACTGGAAAGAAATGGGTCAATTTCCGACATGTCCCAGTGACGAGGGGAGTTTTTAAGAACCCACAATCTGGTGCTTGGTTTCTCCTCCCCTTCAAAAGGGGACATGCTGCGTAACCCCAATTGCCTCCATCCACGTGCCAAACCGTGGGTGCCACCAAGGCTTGCAGCACGTGCCGCATACTCAAGGTCATTCTCGTTCCTCTCTTTTTCAATCCATTTCACATAAGGTTTTTTGCCCCAGCCCTCTTGTGGGGTGGTGGTCCAGTCAAGTGCTTCCCAGAAACACCGTTTGTCTTCCCAAACCCTTCCGCTAGTAGTCAACAAATGACCAACGCCATTAGCTTTCTTGATTCTCACCAACCCTTTAACCACAGTATTGTCTCCACTAGCCCCTTTTTGCAACTCCCAAGCCCAAGTATCGATGACCAAGTTGGTAGTCGCAGGAGCTACTCCAGCAATCCAACTTCTGAGGTTGTTACCAGGTTGAGCCACAAGCTTTTTCCAAGCCGCATTAGAGCAGAACCGAGCATCCATGGTGACCCTCAGAACCAGGCTGTCAGGACGATTGCCCTTGGGTCGTGACGCAACTGGGACCCCTCCTTGAAAGGACCGTTTGACCTTCTGAGTCAAATTGTTCCAACTGGCCACCATTCACAGGGAAATAATAAGGTAATAAGATAATACAGCGCCCCTGATGCTTTCACAGGGAATAATAAGGTAATAAGGTAATAAGCGATGCCCCCACAACGTGTTTGGTCACGAGTTTTCCGGCAGAGTCCCACAAAGGGAGCTTGTCATAAACGAATTTCACCTCAGGAAAAGCATCACATACCACATCTTCATTGGTCCTGCAAGGACAAATAACCGAAACCCAAATGTTTTTGTCACCATGAATGATCCCCAAAACAACCCTCAGTTCATCGGGGTTCAAAACCATGACCACAAAAGGAGAATCGGTCCCTTTCTTATCCACAATGGACCCAAACATTCCAGCACTTTGGACCACAACAGTATTAGTCCAGTCTTGTTCTCTTAAACGAAAAATGATTGGTCGAATGCCTTTATTGCCCTTCCCTTTTTCTTTTCCAACCGGTCGGCCACCACGTCCAACAGTGATCCATGGTGATTCCTCAATTGGCTTGTCTTGATCCCCACCCGTTTTTCCTTTCGTCTTTCCTTTGTTTGATCCTTTCGGAATTTCCTTTGAGGAGTCTCGCTCAGTCTGATTTGGTACCTTAGTCTTTGTAGACCCAGGGTTTATTGACTGACCAGACTTTGCAGCATTCTCGGCTGCATGTAACAAGTTCTTGAGCCTTCCTAAAAGGCCTTCAGGTTTCTTTTCAGCTCTAGTAACCAACCTTTGCAGAGCGTTCAAAAGACCAACATCGGAAGCCAGTCGAGGAACGGTGCCACCCTTTCCCTTACCATTGGTCCTAGTGTTGTCCGTCTCTTTTTCAGTTCTGCTTGGTCTGCTGACCTTGGGCTCAAACTTTTTGAGCAAGTCAGTAAGTCCGGCCAGTAATTGGCTTTCAACACTGTTTCTCTCAGCCCTTTTTCGCGCTGTGGTGTTAGAACCACCAGCTCCACCTCTACATGCTCCATCGATAAAACACTGAGGGTTTATCTCAATTACCTCTTTTTCACGTATGTGGGAAGCACAAGACTTGGAGTGAGAGAACCAAAATCCTTTGACAAGTTTCCCAATCCAACCCTTGGTATTTCCCCCATTACTCACTCCCTTAAGGAGGGTTTCCGGGGATTGGCATCGACTCGCTGGTTCAAACAGACACCCAAAACATCTAACGAACAAACGTTTTCTCCACCCAAAACGGGCAGCTTTCAAACGACCCGAACTGCACTTCCGACACCTACCGAACATTCTATCAGGAAACAGAAAGCCCCAAGACCAACATCCAATCAGCAAAACGGTAAGTGACCAAAATCCAGCCTGAGCACCAGCATGCATCCAAGACCCGTAGAGCTGCCAGGGCGCAAAAGCAGCTGCAACGGCAGCAGCGGTCGCCGAACAACCAGCACTACCAGTCAAGGCACATGGCAACACGGTACCGCGCCCCAGCCCCGAGGAGGCCCACAGAGGGCCGGTTCTATTGCTATCCAAGGAAACCGCCTGACCACAAGGCCAGGAGCAGCACAGCACAAGCAACAGCAACCAGCAGTGTGCCTTAAAAGGGGTTTTAGGGGGAGCTCCAGTAGATACCGGCAAACCATACCGGCGTGAAACTTCAGAAGTGGAACTTCTCAACCTACTGTGCGGTCCTTTAGAAGGACTCTTTTCAGCCATCCATCCTGCTTTCTTTTGACTGATTTTTTCCAACTGCACGTCAACCAATTTATTCTTTTCAACCAGCCATCCTTCTTGGGAATTCTTTTCATCCATCCAACCTCTTTTTTCAACCATCCATCCTTCTTGTTTTCTTTTTTCATCCATCCGACCTTCTTTTCCTTTGACATGGCTATTAAACCAGTTTCCAATCTCACGAGACTGGTTCGCACTGCAGAAGTCACTGCAGCCCGCTGCCACCGCACAGCCACCAAAGGCGCTGCAGGAGGTCGTCTCGTGGAAGCAGCTTACGACGTTCAGAATATAGCACCGTTTGCACGTGCTGCAGCGACCAGATGCAAAGCTCCGAGGGCACACAGCACTGATTGCGAATGCAAGATTCTAGTCCACCCGCGATTGCCACATGTCAAGGACTGTGGCAACCATGCTTTGAATCAAATTGGGGTCAGTTTCTAACTCGGACCACCCATATCTTTTCAATAATCCACTTTCGGGGTGGTTCAAACGAACAGGGTCACGTTTCGGGCATTCCCAAAGGGCATGGTTCCAAGAGCAATCTTTCACAGAGCAACCTTGGTTGGGGCAACATGCGTCTCCCAGGGAACGTCGCGCCTTTTTATGTTCTAAAGGGCTACGGGCAGCTCCAAGCATCAACCAACGTTTAGGTCCTGAAGAAGTAGCAATTTCTTTGCGAAGATTGCCCACTCGTTCACTGTCATAAACTTCGTGTGCATATTCTGGAGTTTGGTGTCTAGTGGACTGAGAACATAATTGGGACCATTCCGGTCTTCTCCAACTTTCTCTCAAGTCGTGCGCCGCCTTGGAGCGGTCCTCCGGATCCCATCTGCTCAAAGGTTCCACGAAGAGTTTGAGGTCTGGCTGCTTCCATGACTGGTTAGGCTGAGGCGTCCAACCCATGTCATGGAACCATTGCACTGGGTGTTTATCAGAAGGCTGTGTGTCAAGCGGTTGATCACGACATCGATGCTGTCTCGTAAACATCCTCATCGTCTGCTTGGCCCCCACTGGGCCATCAAGGCCAACCTGCAAGAGCATTCTTTTATGGTGTGGTCCACCTTGGTGTGGTTCGTTGCACGCTCTCCAGACTGCTTGGTCAAAATGGCTAGTTTCTTTTTCTGTTGGCTTCCGACTCACCCATCCATAGCTGGCTTTCGCCATGGCAACAGCTCGAATGGTGCCATGCTTTGCTTCTCTGGAGATTGGAAGTAGGCCGGTACGCAAAGTCACGTGATCGGCTTCTTTTTGTCTGTTGACTTCTTTTGCTGTAGGTTTGCGGTTTTTGGTCGACGACATGGTGACTCCCAGCACATCGACATAGTCTTTGACATGGTCCTCTGATATCGCTTTCATTTGGCCTTGTCGCGCGGGAGTTGTTGCACCGTATTGAGTTTTTCCCATGTGCTCCTTCAGGCCAACAAGCACAGACCAAGTTCGCCACTCTGCGGCCACTTGAGTAAGTAGGCTGGGATCATGGGCTGTCCAAGTGCGATCGTCGATGTACACGCAATGGTTTGTCACTGCGGGACACCTGTCTTTGACGAAATTGAGACCCGCTGTCATAAGGCATGCCAAGGACAAGGGACTGAGGCCGTCTCCTTGAGGGATTCCTGTAGAGGTCCGCATCGGGACCGGGTCGACGAAGCGGTTCCAATCAATGTATCGAACTTGGTGTTCCCAATGAAATTGGAGTGTGCTAGTGAGAGCGTTCGGTAATCCCAACATAGCCATCGCTTGACAAGCGTCTGCCGGGATGACATGGTCGTAGCATTGTGAATAGTCCAGGGAAGCGATGTACCCATCTGTATTGAAAGCATCGAACATACGTGTTGCATGTTCTTCTGCTCCAGGAGAGCTTTTCCCCCCAGCAATTTGCTGTGGGAGAACTGAAGCCCGCCATGCTGCGATGCTACAGGATTTGCTCCAACAGGAAGTGTACAGTCTCCACCAGATACTATAGATTGAAGTTGGACGGAGATCTTTGCAGTCAATTTTCCGGTCTGATGTGATGCGATTTGGTTTAACCAAGTTGACTTGTCGCATTTCGTGAAGCACTGCATGAAGGTGTTGTTTGAACCTTTTCCCAGCGAGCCGTGATCTCCCAAAATGTCTGGAAAACCGCAAAGGGCAAGGCCTTGACTTCTGCCGGAGACCACCCATCCGGGCCACTGGCCCCTTGACGCTTCATCTTGCTGACTGTAGCGAAGACTTCGATATCTTTCGGTCGTTCCGGAGTAGTGGGAGGAGGAAGACCTTCAAGACAAGTTTTGAGCAAAATGCTACGCTCGGCGGAAGTGAGTGGACTGATGCTAGCAGCGTCTTTCCAGACCTGTTGCCAGTGGCTTCTAATGGCCTCAGCGACTTCCGAATGTGATTGCAAGGTTCGATCCTTATGGCAAACTACCGGAGGACTACCTTGATGGTTTCGTTTGATCCATTTGGTCCTGGCGGCAAAATCCGCCCTAATGGTTTTCTTGGAATTCCACCTAGTGGCCGTGCCGCGGAGACCCACAATTGGTTCTCCTTGCATGGCCCAGGCCACTTCCTGGAAATCGCCATCCTTATCGAGTTCTTGATTGAAGTCTCCCGACCACACCCATGGTCGGTCATTTGGAACATGCCATTCTTGGAAAAGATTCATGTGATTTTCAGCAGCTTCCCGCATCTGATTGGCAGTCCTAGGGGGGGTGTAAGTATTAATACAAATCCAGCTCCCAATTTGAACCGCAATGGATTGGAATTGATCAACATAATCCTCCCGAGCAACATGAAGCATTTTTTGGGGAACGTTGTTATGAACCAAAGTCATGACCCCGTGACGCGGTCGCAGGTGACCCCATCTATCCGGTGTTCTTTTTCCTGCACCATGATAGGCTGTGTAGCCCAAAAACGCTGCGCGACGTTGGACAGCAGCAGCTTCATTGTCGGATAGGCACACCTCCTGAACATGAAAGACCTGGAACTGCTGTAGGTTGTCGAGAACTTTCCAAACCCCAGGAGCACCTTGGGTGTTGAGATTGCAACATGAAATTGAAACTTTCCATTTGTGAGTTTCCGGATGTGAGGCTAGGGATCCTGGACCCGGGTTGGACGCTTCTCCAACTCGTTGTCCCCGATATCCGTAGAGTCTATTCTGAGAAATGTGATTGGAAGGAAGAATGCCAGTTGCCTTCCATTCCTCTTCATTTCTATTCAGAGCTTGCTTGATGCTTTCACAGTTGTTACCATTAACCGAAATGCTTCTCCTGAAAGTGGTAATGGTTCTTTTGGGAGCTTTGGACGCGAATTCACATGAGGTGTTTGACCGAAACGCAACCTTAGTTCCTGAAATGAGGCAGTTGGTACAAACGGCAAGAATTTTCCGTCTTTCATGTAAATCAGGATCCGTAGAAGCCACCCAAAAAGTTTTGATGTTGTGCTTGGAAGTCTCACTCAATTTGTCAAGTTTTTCCTGCTTGTTTCTTTGCAGCTGTACATTGGTACAACCCGTGTGGGCCTCAGTAGGGGTAGTTTCGGGGTGATGTTTCGCAAAATGCGCTTGGATGCTGATGATGCGTTGGTGTTTAGGTATGTCCGCCAAACCAGCCTTGCACAATTTGCACGTCCACGTACGCTCCGACGGGGGAATATGCGTAGACGCCTCGTACACTTCGGCAATGCGACCAATGCGCGCAGTAGCGTGATACTGAGCGCGTTCTTGGGCAGTATGGCGTTGGCACATATGATTGGATTTAGCCCCGCGCAATTTGTGACGAGCGTTGCGGCCAGCACTGATATTAATTTCAAGGTTACAAATGGGGCAAGTCCACAGCTGGGCGCCTTGTTTGCGAGTATCTTTGACCTTGGCATTGGCACCCTGGCGAGGGTAAGGGGCAGCGTCCGGGCGGAACGCATCTAAAGCGCGCGTGTTTTGCGCTTTTTTGTCAACTTTTTGCGTTCCGATTTGAGTACGGACAGTGTGCAAAGACGGCGTGCGCGCACTGCGACTTCCATGGGTGACGACGCTGTGTAAAGAAGGCGTACGACGCGAAGGAACAGACGCCGTAGAAGCAGCAACACGCTTAGGGGTACGACTACGCTGCGTGGTACGACTTTGCGGCGTGAGCATAGCGGGCGTTTTGGGAGTAGCACTGGTGCTAGTTTGCGCTTGCACGTGACTGCGTTGTGGGGTACTAGCAGTAGCGACGGAACGCAAGGAGGGGGTCGCAGCGTAGCTTTGGGCACGGCCTGCTCCTTCAAGTTCAACATCGATGATGCTAGTACCAGTGTTCTTAAGCCAAGCTTTGGGTATGTTTTGATCGGGGGGGTTGAGCAAAACAGTGTAGTGACCATTCTTCAAAATCAAAGGTAGGGGACATCCATCATTGGAAGCACATGCTAACTGATTAGGTCCAAATCGCCCAGCAAGAGTGATTCTGTCCCAAACTTTGTGTTTCGTTTCCGTTTTGTCATGCCAAATAACAACAGGACATCCAGAAACTTCAGTGAAAGCTTGAATGAGCATGCCGTTTGCAAAAGTCGTTTGTTTTGCGGCTTCAGCCAGCCAGTCATCAAAAGACATGTTTGCAAATTTACCTGACGTGGGAATGGCCCAAGCCTCACGAAACCGGTCAATGTGTTTTTTAATGTGTTTGACTGTCAAGGATCTGAGCCATGAACCCTTGGCAATAGTTTGTTCCGGTGTAAGCTCCTGACCTTTGATCATCCAGGCTTGAGCCTTTGCAGTTGCCCTGAAAAAGCAATCTCCGTTGCCTCCAGGGTCCACATGTTTCCATCCAGCTTTTTGAGCTTCGGCTGGGTCAATGATTCCGGCTCTTTCAACTGATTTCACCTGCTGTTGAAAGTGAGATATGTGAGCACCTTCGTCAACCGTCATGGCTCCATCGTCCTGGCTATGGTCCATTTGAGTCTGTGCAACTGAATAGTTTTCAGTTTTGGTTTGTGGTTCGTTTTGTTCTTCAGAATCTTTGTTTCCTTTGGGGCTGCGGCTGCGGCCCTCTCTCTCTTTTCGGGTCGCAGTAATACTGCGGCCTCTAGCTTGTCCTTTGTTTTGATCGTTGGGCATCAGTGTTTGCCGTTTGGTCGGTGGTTCCGTCTCGTCAGTTTGGTGACGTTTGAAAGACGGGCCTTTGACCTGAAAAGCAACATTGGCCTTAGTTTTGGCAGCCCAAACCTGTGCATGGATGTGCCAAGGAATATCATCCTGTATCAAAAAAGACCAATGAGCTTGTTGTTTTTGATTGTCCCGTGGGAGTCCATGGGCAATCCACGCTCCTCGGTGTCTGTGACTGATCTCAAAATTAGTCCAACCCTGAGAAGTGAAAAAAATCGTTATATCAAAACTGTCCCACTGTCGAGGGATCCCTTGAATGGAAATAGGTCTTTTGGTACTTTCATAAGTGTCTTCTGAGGGTTTGGTCAATCCCAATTCATGACCTCCTCCACTTCGCCACAGTAGCGGCTCCTGTCGGTTCTGTGCCGCTGTCCACATTCTGCGGAAATAAGTGTGATCACTTTCGTTTTTATCTTTCCGATGCCAGAAGGCCTGTGGGCCACTTCTGTCACCGACCTTGTTAATGAAAATGGCTCTATCTCCACTGTGTTTGGTGAGTTTGTCCGCAACATTTTTCTGAACTTTGACATATCCAACCAGCTTGTGGACATGTCCTTGCTGCTGTTGGGACCAGCTTCCTCCAAGCAAGTCGTGAGATTTTAAGCCATGTATGGAAACCAATTGAGAAATGATACATGCGGGGCTGTCCTGATTAGTATCTTCGGGGAGAAATTGGTCTCGGAAATGACATGGGGCAATGATTCGACTCTGACTTTTTTCCAATACAGGCAACGCATCCTTAGTCACCCGGGTGGGCGTAAAAGTCCAAGGACCTTCTTTTTGGCCAACCTTCTTGAGCCACACTGGTTCCAGTTTGGAGCCAAATTTTCCTCGGGAGATTGAGACGTGTGTTTGAAAACCTCCGGCCATGTCAAGGTTACAAGAACCTAGCACGGTCAGGGGGCCTGGGTCCCCAAAAGCATCCCAAAGACAAATCAAATCATCCAAGTGGCCAGGGTCCCAAATCTCAACCAAGTTGCCACTAGGTACAGGTCCACTTTTGAGATCATTTTCCAATTTACCAGTAGAAACCAACTTAGGAGGAACCCCAGGGGCCCAATCAAATGGTCGCAAAAAGGTGATTTTATGTAAACTTCTCTCATCAAACCGGTGATCCAATTTTTCGGCAGGACGAGAAAAAGAGACTTTTCGATTGATATGCCTAGCATTATCAGCAGGACTGGTAGTTGGTGAATCAGCAGGGCCGATCCAGGTCCACCATCCGCTAGTGGGGTCGACCTCATAGCGGTGTCCTTTCCAAATTCTCTTTTGTGCTTCAGCTGACTTATGCTTTTGTTCAGTCAATCCGCCGTCATTTTTGGGCAGCAACGCAGCACTCAGAAGTGAAGCAAGTTGTTGCATCTCTGGGTTGTCACCCTGGTTCAGACATTGTTTCAAGGCTCGGATCAAACTGTTGGTTTCGTTTCCAAAGAAACAATCTTTTTTCTTTCTGCGCCGTTTGGTGCGAGCAGCTCCTGCTGCCCCACCTTCTAAGGTCGATGAAATGTTTTTAAGGTACTCAAAATTCGTACCTTCCCAATTCATACATTTGTCGTCCTCAGAATTGTATGACTGGTATAACGGTATAACACAAAACTTCCAGGAGTCAAATCAAGAATGGTGTCAGGACGAGGAGCTTTGTGCTTTTGAGAAACGACTGTTTTCCATGATCGTTGTCTCATGTGGTATCGCCATGTCTGGCATATTTTCCGGAACTTCAGCCGCGGACATTTCAGTCTACGGTTTCCACATCGACGAGCCTGTCTAGCCCACCTCGTTGGCTTATATTTTGTTGATCCGTTTTGATGAAAACAAATCCTGTGTCGTTTCCGTTTTTTGTTTTTGGTTTTCGTTTTTGAATTGTCTTGTTGTCAGAAAAGCAACAGACAGCAAATGACCCCATACAAAACATCCACGCAAGCCTCCACAAAGTATTTTCAATGGGTTCATCATTCCAATCGTATTCAACATGTTTAGAAGTAGGGAAGAGCCGGTTCACAGGGTCATCCAATGCCCAGTCCTCAGCTGCGCCAACTTCCAAGACGTGCATTTTTAAGGCGCTCCGCCGCGCCATCAGCTGCACTTCGTCAGCTGCTCTCAGCGGGATCGCACGACATGGCTCATGCTGCACATGTCCCGGGAGGCCCGAAGGGCCGGTAAAGTTACCAGTAACCACTGGTTCAGAGAACGTAGTGGTCCACCAAAAGTCATGACAAGGCACAACAGCAGAAGCACCAACCCAACCAGGCAGGCAGCAGAAGATTACCCAACGCAACCAACCGAACCTAGTTGGGCAAATTTGCCTCTTATTGGCCCATTTCCGGTCGCAGTGACCAGCTCTTGAATGAATTTTTTCGGTGTTTCTTTGGGGTCTTTTCAAGTTTTTTGATTTTGGACAAATGTCAACTTGGACAGGTTCTGATGACACATTCGCACCCCAATTGCAATTGAGGCCCGTGGTGGCGGTGAAGTGCTCGGTGTGCAAACACTTCAGGACGCTTTGTGTGTGGAAGAGTTGTATGTGTGTGTGACAAAGATGTGTGCGTGTGTGTGTGTGTGGCAAAGTTGCGTGTAATAAAGTTGTGTGTGACAGAGTGCCTGTGTGTGTGTGACAAAGTTGTTCGCGAAAGAGTGTGTGTGACAAAGTTGTGTGTCTGTGACAAAGCTGTGTGTGTGACAAAGTTGTGTGTAAAAGATCGTGTGTGTGTAACGAAGTTGTGTGTGTGAAAGAGTTGTGTATGACAAAGTTGCGTGTGTGTGAAAGATCGTGTGTGTGTGTGACGAAGTTGCGTGTGACGAATTTGTGTGTGGAAGAGTTGTATGTGTGTGACAAAGATGTGTGCGTGTGTGTGTGTGGCAAAGTTGCGTGTAATAAAGTTGTGTGTGACAGAGTGCCTGTGTGTGTGACAAAGTTGTTCGCGAAAGAGTGTGTGTGACAAAGTTGTGTGTCTGTGACAAAGCTGTGTGTGTGTGACAAAGTTGTGTGTAAAAGATCGTGTGTGTGACGAAGTTGTGTGTGGAAGAGTTGTGTATGACAAAGTTGTGTGTGAAAGAGTGTGTATGACAAAGTTGTGTGCGAAAGAGCGGAGGAGGAGGCCGGGAGGCCGGGAGGCCAGGAGGCCGGGAGGCCGGGAAGGATACAGAACCAAAAACAAGAACCCCACACAAAGATGTGGGGAAAAACCTGGCCCACCATGGCCCCACCAATGAGCCGCCTTGAAAATTACCACGGCGAGTCACACACCAGTTACGACGTTCAGAATCGTAAAGAATCCAATTACAATGTACCTCGGCAACATCGAGCTGCAATGATCTGAATGGCCCCAGTGGGCCTGACATTCATATGTACCCAAAGTTGTAGGGAATGACATAGGAATGACAATGTCCGGAAACTATGACTATCACATATTATGACCAGGTGGTGATCTTCGCGGTGGTCCCATGCCCGGATGAATAATTTCTTGGGGCTTAGGATTTGGGGTTTAGGTTCTGGAAAGCTTGATCCCGACAGGCATGCAGAATAGAACAGCAAACGACGAGATAACATGGTTGATGGAAAATTTGCGTCCAGTTGCTGCTTTGAAAAGCAGCGGGACCAGACACGTCCCGACCAGCAGCACCATAATCAGAAGTCACAACCACAATGGTCAAGGAACCTTTCCAATTACATCACCGCACCTCCTCAAAAATTACATCGGCAAGAGACTGTGCGGAGGGTAGGAAGTCAATGTAGCAGAAACAAGCAACAGTAGCTACAGTAACAAATCAAATTTAGACATCGTCGCAACTGCAGAAGCAGGACCTTCTATATACATCTATATTGAATATCTCACAAGATCTTCAGACAAGAACTTCCTTTGAGCATCCCAGAAAACTTGAGACAAGCTCCAACGCAAAGCATTTTCAAGATCTTGGTGCAAGGATCTCAGCGTGAGGAGGATTGCAGCAGGATCTCCGCAAGATCTTCTCACAAGGACCTGTACGAAATCATGCAAGGATATGTAGCGGACTTCACGGGGGCCTCCAAAACCTCCAAGAGCCCCCCACAAGATCTGCAAGATCTTCATGCAAGGACCTCAGAGAGGATCTCACCAGGATCTCCGCAAGACCTTCTTATAAGTGGACCTGCGCAAGATCACTCAAGGATCCCCTACGAAAGGCTTGCAAGATCTTCACAAGATCTTCTGATAAGCACCTGTACAGATCATGCAAGGACCTCCGTCAGCATGTCATCAGGATCTGCACGGCATCTTCATCTTCTCACAAGGACCTTGACGAGACCTTGGCCAAGATCCATGAAACCCTTGCAGGAGCGTCATAGAAGGACGTTGCAAAGAACTCCTAAGATCTCTTTACCAGGATCCAAAAGAAGCAGCTAAGATCAGCACCACGCCACAAGCCACAACGAGAGCGATCTGACCGACAGTGCCGAGAGGGTTGCACGAGCCATGTCAAAAATCGCACCGTGCCACAACGAGAGCGATGCGTCGAGAAGGTTGCGCGAGCCATGTCAAAATTCGCACCGCTTCACAACGAGAGTGATCTGACAGGCACGCACAGTGCCAAAAAGGTTGCGCGAGCGACATCCAAATTCGCACCGCACCACAGCGAGAGCGATCTGACACTCACAAAGTGTCCCCTCAAAATGCTCGAGCGATGTCAAAATCCGCACGGCGCGACAACGAGAGCGATCTGACACATGCAAAGTGACGAGAGGGTTGCGGGTTTCAGCCACTTTCGCGGACCACAAGCCCTGCGCCTGCCACGAAAATGAGTGCAAGGCAAACTTAGCCGCACACTTTGCGCGAGCCTGCGTCGACATGCACACGAACATCGCACAAGGGCACTTTCATACGAAAAAGCCGAAGGCCTGAGAGCGTACCCGGATCTAACCCACGTCTTTTAACACTTACCGTAAGAACCCCGCAGTGTGGACACACCGTTCGGGGAACCACCACTGAGGTCTGACAAGGGAAGGATCGGGAAACGTTCCGGTCTCTCCTTCCCAGAAAGATCACGATGAAGCCGGCACACGACAAGCGCAACCGAGGACCAAGAATAGCACACAGGGAGGAGAGAAAACACCGAAGCAAACAGTGGAAGCAAAACAGGAAAAGGGGAAAGAACCAGAAAAGAAATAAACCAGGGCGAAAGGCGCGTCGCCAAAGACGGACCAACAAACTGGCCAGGTACAGTTTGCCCAAGTGGGCCAAAGAAGTGACAACCGAAGTGCTACGCTCATGAGCCTGACAGCCAAATCCCAAGTCTCCCGCGCTTCATTTGAGATTCATTACAGGCCGTATGTGCGCCTCTGTGGCAACAACCGGATACATCAACAAAGCTTTCCCGGCACCTCAACCAACTGCTAGAAATCCGTGCAAAAGATTCGCAATGTTTTTGCACATTAGTTTTGTTGCAGCTTCAACAGCCACTTCACGCTACCTGTTGCCTTCGTTGCCCTGGCTGACAAGGCTACCCCCCCACTTCCAACACCCAGTTTCGACTCACTTCCAACACCGCCTCACTTCCAACACCCAGAACTCACTCCCAACACCCAAAAGTACCTCACTTCAAGCGCAAAACACAGTTATCGGCGTCGGAGGCGAGTCAATTTCAAGAATTACCATAGGAACTAAGGTGTGCTCATACATAAATACCCTTACATACTTATCCTTCTGCTTACATGCTTATCCTTCTGCTTACATAATTACTTGACTCAACCATTTAGGGTTTGGCTGGGTGGTTGGGAGGGATCCTTCACATAGTTACGTGACTCAGCCATTTAGGGTTTGGTTGGGGGGGATCCCTCAACTCAAATAACTACTTGAATCAGCAATTTCAGGTTTGGTTGGGGGGGTGGGGAGGGACCCTTCTACTTACAAACGGCCAACGAATTCCATGATTCCCACATGACAAACAAGCTGCATTCGAAAAGCACGCCGCAACATATAAAATAGGGGTCGTTCATATTGTATACTCAATCAAGATCAAACCAAAAAATAAGTCGGCTTATCGTTCGCATGTTCTGTCGACGTCGCACGCACAGAGCGCAATGATCAAGTTCATCTGATTGATAGCTTCTATGCATATATATATATATAAATATAATATAATATAATATAATTTAATATAATATAATATAATACAATATAATACAATATAATATAATATAATATAATATATATATATATTTATTTATTTATACACAAATAAAACTCACCATCAACATGCACTAGTGTAACCTAAACATAGTATAGTAAAGAAATACGTGATACGCGGGGTAGAGGGGGGAGCGGACCCAACAAACGCTTCGAGGGAACGCTATGCCAAGAACGGAGAGAACGGGGGGGCAGGGTAGGAGTAGGACTAGGACTAGGAGTAGGAGTAGTAGTAGTCGTCGTCGTGGTCGGAGTAATAGTTGTACTACTAGGGATAGTAGTTGTAGTAGTAGTAGTTGTAGTAGTAGTAGTAGAAGTAGAAGTAGTAGCAGTAGTCGTAGGGGTAGTAGTAGTAGTAGTAGTAGCAGTAGTAGTAGTAGTAATAGTAATAGTAATAGTGCTAGTAGCAGTAGTAGTAGCAGTAGCAGTAGCAGTAGCAGTAGCTGTAGCTGCAGCAGCAGTAGAACCAGTAGTAGCAGTAGTAGCAGTAGTAGTAGCAGTAGTAGCAGTAATAGTAGTCCTAGTTGTTGCTGCTGCTGTTGTTGCTGTAGCAGTTGTAGTCGTAGTTGTAGTAGTAGTGCTAGTAGTGGTAGTAGTTGTGGTGGTGGTAGTAGTAGTGGTGGTAGTAGTTGCAGCAGCAGCAGCAGCAGCAGTAGTCGTCGTCGTCGTTGTTGGTGTTGTTCGTCGCCGTTCTCTGTTGTTCTTGTTCTTGTTGTGGTTGTTGTTGCTGTTGCTGTCGTTCATTATTGCTTTGGCTTCTTGGAAGTGCTTGTCATTATGACAGTGGCACCCAGCGATAGGGAATATGATGATTATTTTGGTGATGATCATGATAATGAAGAGGATGGGATGGAGAGATGAAGGGGTGAAGACATGAAGCGATGAAGAGATTGAGATGAAGAGATGAAAAAGGTGAAGAAGAAGAAAATGATGATGATGATGATGAGGATGAGGATGATGATGATGATGATGAGGATGATGATGATGATGATGATGATGATGATGCTGATGCCGTGGCACGTGGCACGTGGCACGTGGCACGTGGCACGTGGCACGTGGCACGTGGCACGTGGCACGTGGCGTCGGGAGCGAAACCGTTTCTGGCATTGCGAGCGAGTCAAAACTCGGCGTCAGGAGCGAGGTGCCGACCAAGAAGGCTGACAGTTCAGTGTCTCCGCTTTCTGGTGACTAGGATTGTATACCATCATCCCATCCCATCATTTTCTACCCCAAGCCAAGGCTGAGCAGCCCTGCTTCCCCAAACACGGTCTGTCAAGTTGCAAATTCATAAATCCCATGGCCAAAAGGGAAACGTCCTGCAGATGCAGGCAGTCAAAGATGCCTCCAAAGGCAATGCTATGAACTGCACTGGGCCAAAGGAGGGCGCAAATCCATTTTACTCACACTTAGATGATTGACATGAGTATTCCTCAAAAATTCTGCAATATTCTGGATCTGGATCACATCATGACAGGTGCTCGTGGGCTAGGCCAATCTGCTCCTTTAGAGGTTTGTAGCACTCTTCCCAATTGATTCCGCCAGTGATCGCCATGAAGAGCGTCATCATGCCTTGAAAGCGCAAAGAATCCGAGAAAAAAACAAATTAAAGGACCGGATAACCCCACATGTCATCTTCTTCCAATAATGACCAACAAATGTTGTAGCGGGACGGGGAAGGAAGGAAACACAAAGGAGGTGGTGGAGGATCGAGAAGTAAAACAAATTGTTGTATGTGAAAGATTGTGTGTCACAGGCGTGGTGTGAAACATGGTGTGTCAAAGATGGTGTGTCAAAGTTGTGTGTGAAAGATGGTGTGTGTGACAAAGTGGTGTGTGTAAGATGGTGTGTGAAAGATGGTGTCAAAGATGGTGTGTGACAAAGATGGTTGTAAAAGATGGTGTCAAAGATGGTGTGTGACAAATTTGTATGTGAGAGATGGTGTGTAAAAGATGGTGTGTCAAAGAGGGTGTGTGACAAAGTGGTGTGAAAGATGGTGTGTGACAAAGTGGTGTGTCAAAGATGGTGTGTGACAAAGTTGTGTGAAAGTTGTGTGTGCGAAAGAGAGCGTGTGACAAAGTTGTGTGTCAAAGATGGTGTGTGACAAATTGGTGTGTGAAAGATGGTGTGGCAAAACATGCTGTGTGACAAAGTTGTGTGTGACAAGTGCCACGCCAGCCATGCAAAACGAAGCTAGATGTCACAAAGTGCCACGCCTGCCACTTAAAGTGAAGGTCCATGTCACCAAGTACAACGCCTGCCACGTGAAACGAAGGTGGATGTCTCCAAGCGCCACGCCTGCCACGCCAACAGCCGAGTCGATGTCACCAAGTATCACCCCTGCCACGTGAAACGAAAGTAGCCAGTCCACTGCCACAAGTGCCACGCCTGCCACGCAAACTGGAAGTCCATGTCACCAAGTACCACGCCTGCCACGTGAAACGAAGGTGGATGTCTCCAAGTGCCACGCCTGCCACGCCAACAGCCGCGGCGGCCACCGCGTCCACTCCGGCCCAAGCGCGCCACCGGAGCCAGCCCAGTGCCATAAGTGCCACGCCTGCCACGCAAAGTGGAAGTCGATGTCACCAAGCACCATGCCTGCCACGTAGTGAAACAAAGGTGGATGTCTCCAAGCGCCACGCCTGCCACGCCAACAGCCGCGGCGACCACCGCGTCCACTCCGGCCCAAGCGTGCCACCGGAGCCAGTCCAGTGCCATAAGTGGCACGCCTGCCACGCAAAGTGGAAGTCGATGTCACCAAGTACCACGCCTGCCACGTGAAACGAAGGTGGATGTCTCCAAGTGCCACGCCTGCCACGCCAACAGCCGCGGCGACCACCGCGTCCACTCCGGCCAAAGCGCGCCACCGGAGCCGGTCCAGTGCCATAAGTGCCACGCCTGCCACGCAAAGTGGAAGTCGATGTCACCAAGTACCACGCCTGCCACGTGAAACGAAGGTGGATGTCTCCAAATGCCGCGCCTGCCGCGCCAACAGCCGCGGCGACCACCGCGTCGACCACCGCGTCCACTCCGGCCCAAGCGCGCCACCGGAGCCAGTCCAGTGCCATAAGTGCCACGCCTGCTACGCAAAGTGACGCTAGATGTCCCCTAGTGCCACGCCTGCCACGCATAGTGAAAGTTGATGTCACCAAGTGCCACGCCTGCCACGCAAAGTTCTGTGTGGACAAGTTGTGTGTGAGTAAGTGTGGACAAGTTGTGTGTGGACAAGTTGTGTGTGAGCAAGGTGTGTGTGGACAAGTTCTGTGTGGACAAGTTGTGTGTGTGAGTAAGTGTGGACAAGTTGTGTGTGAGCAAGTTCTGTGTGGACAAGTTGTATGTGAGTAAGTGTGGACGTGGACAAGTTGTGTGTGAGCAAGGTGTGTGTGGACAAGTTCTGTGTGGACAAGTTGTGTGTGAGTAAGTGTGGACAAGTTGTGTGTGAGCAAGTTCTGTGTGGACAAGTGGTGTGTGAGTAAGTGTGGACAAGTTCTGTGTGGACAAGTTATGTGTGGACAAGTTGTGTGGGAGGAAGTTGTGTGTGTGTGTTGTGGAGGAGGAGGGCAGGAGGAGAAGGCGGGCCACTCCGGCCCAAGCGCGCGACCGGAGCCAGTCCAGTGCCATAAGTGCCACGCCTGCCATGCAAAGTGGAAGTCGATGTCAACAAGTATCACGCCTGCCACGTGAAACGAAGGTAGCCAGTCCACTGCCACAAGCGCCACGCCTGCCACGCAAAGTGGAAGTCGATGTCACCAAGTACCACGCCTGCCACGTGAAACGAAGGTGGATGTCTCCAAGTGCCACGCCTGCCACGCCAACAGCCGCGGCGGCCACCGCGTCCACTCCGGCCCAAGCGCGCCACCGGAGCCAGCCCAGTGCCATAAGTGCCACGCCCGCCACGCAAAGTGGAAGTCGATGTCACCAAGTACCAGGCCTGCCACGTGAAACGAAGGTGGATGTCTCCAAGTGCCACGCCTGCCACGCCAACAGCCGCGGCGACCACCGCGTCCACTCCGGCCCAAGCGCGCCATCGGAGCCAGTCCAGCGCCATAAGTGCCACGCCTGCTACGCAAAGTGACGCTACATGTCCCCTAGTGCCACGCCTGCCACGCATAGTGAAAGTCGATGTCACCAAGCGCCACGCCTGCCACGCAAAGTTCTGTGCGGACAAGTTTTGTGTGAGTAAGTGTGGACAAGTTGTGTGTGTGGACAAGTTGTGTGTGAGCAAGGTGTGTGTGGACAAGTTCTGTGTGGACAAGTTGTGCGTGAGCAAGTTCTGTGTGGACAAGTTGTATGTGAGTAAGTGTGGACGTGGACAAGTTGTGTGTGAGCAAGGTGTGTGTGTGTGTGGACAAGTTCTGTGTGGATAAGTTGTGTGTGAGTAAGTGTGGACAAGTTGTGTGTGAGCAAGTTCTGTGTGGACAAGTTGTATGTGAGTAAGTGTGGACAAGTTCTGTGTGGACAAGTTGTGTTAGGAAGTTGTGTGTGTGTGTGTGTTGTGGAGGAGGAGGGCGGCGGGAGGAGGGCAGGAGGAGGAGGGCAGGAGGAGAAGGCGGGAGTGCAGAACCAAAAACAAGAACCCCACACAAAGATGTGGGGAATGATTTCTGTGTGTTGTTCCCTTTCGACCAAGAAAGCCAGAGACAGCCCTAAAGACCTACCTCCCGCAACTCTCATGCGGAGGCTCGGCGACATGATTGACGAAAATTTTGCGGGATCCGAGAGGTGTCCCAGCGACCCTTAAAAGTTCTCCGCTCTGCCGCACTGCCGGCGAATTTTGAAGGTAAGCTGCTGTCCATGACATTGTCCCAGTACTGCAAATTTTCTGGGCAAACTGGCTTAGCATTCTGATCTCCAGTGCTGTCGATGGTTTGGAACCGACAGTGATCTGTCCTTGAGGGCCGCCAGGATGGAGATTGGACAAGTTGCAAGCTGCCTACGTTTTTGTTGGCAAATCCACATATTTCGTGGTTATATTTATTTATATCTTAAATATCATGCTGTATCACACTTGTATCCCTCCTGGACGCACAGGCCCATGGAGATGTTCGCATTTTGGGAATCTACATTAGCTGATTTCAGAATGCAGTCATGATCTACCAACCAATGGATGTCCTGATGTGCATGTGATAAATGTCTGATGTGCTTTTTACACTGAAAACCAACAGTACGATTTTACCAGCTGCTCTGGTTGTCACTTGTCATCTCTCATCTTCGTTGAGAACGCCAAAGCCTGAAAACAACAGCATTTTTTACAGGGAAGCCTAGAACAAAAGGGGAATGTAGCGGGGATCCGTAGCATAGGAGGACTGCAAAGATCAAGCAGGTTATCCCTCCTATCTAATCCTATTTATGCATCTATCGATCGATCTATCTGCCTACCTGCCTATCTACTTACCTACCTACCCCCCTACCTACGTAGCAATCTCTCTCTCCCTCTTGGGAACATAATCACAAGCTGCGACTGACACCCCTCCAGCACGAGTTCATCTATCAGTCGCCGGGAAGAAAAATGCCAACCTTCAGCTGAGTGACACTAGCTGGGCAAAGATGCAGCTGAATACATAGAATACAATCAACAGCAAAAGCAAAGTCCACAACAACGAGCCCAGAGTGCTGAAAATCGACAGGATCAAGCCTCTTAAAGCCTTGGCGAAACGTGCCGCATCTTTCCATGTGTGGAAAAAGCCCGCTCATCACCCCCTGCACCAAGCTTGGGACCCTGGAAAAAAGTCTGTCGGGTTTAGCTAGATCAATTCCGTGTTTCTTCTTGGATCAACCACTATCGCAAGCACTCATAACATGTACCTCGCTAGATCTCCATTTTTCACCCGCCCGAATGACATGTCCCACACAAACTGCAATCACTTCTGGGGAACAAATCAAAACCCGAACCGAAAAAGAAAGCTGAAAAGAATCATTGAAGAAATGCAAAGAAATGCTGAGGAGACAAGAACATGTTTAGAAAGAATCAAGCCCAGGGTGCGCTAAAGTATCGGAACAGGCGAATGATCCTCACCCCCCGCAGGGTCCGCGCCAGCCGCAAAGCGCGCATCACGCGGAAGGAGTTGGAGCCATCCGCCGCAAAGATGGATTGCACAGCCAGGTCCACAACGGCTTCAGCCACGGCGATCGCGACGATGACAAAATCAAATGCGTTCCAAAGAGCATCCTGGGTAGATCTAGCAGCATTTTTCATATGTTTTCTATGTCTGATGGTTCAAAATCTAAACACGATGTAAATCAAACTGAATCAAAAAAAAAATCTGCCAGCAGTAGTCTGGTTTCTCTACTGGTATTCAACAGCGGAGGTAAACGACGAAATGCTACCCGAAAACCGAGCATACCAAAGCTTTGATACTGGGTTCTTAAAAGAAAAACGGCCATCCTATGAAGAACATTTGTAGACGTCCTGATACCCCAATGTCCCCACGTCAATGACGCCTTCTACGTTAGGTATTACGCAACTTTAAAGAAAAAACAACCATGCTAATGCTGTTTGGAACTTCCAGACGCAACATTGAAGTTATTTATTTCCATGTCTATTGGACTTTCTACGGACGGGTGTTGTTTTTAAGAGTCCAATAAGGGAGCACAAACTGAAGTTTGTTTCATTCATTCGTTCATGATTTGATTGCTATATTCAATTCTTGGCAAAATTGCCGACCAACCCCTAAAAAACATAAAACCCTTGCCGCTGACTGGATGGAAACAGATTTGCCCACACTAGGGTGTCCACAAACCCACTCGGCTGCTCCAGTTCTCATATCTTATGCAAGCCAAATGTCATCACCACGCCAAAACTCGTCACCTAGATCCGCAGCTGTCGCAGTCGCAGATGTACAAAGCAGCTCTGCATAAACACGAAGCAAATCAATGCAGAATCAAGAAATTTGCGACTATGTGCAACATACGTTTGACAGACCCGCGGTCTATTCACACATGTTCATATATTGTTCAAAGGGATTCCAAAATCAAAAACCATCCTCCCGGTTCACCCGGCATCATCACATTCGGCAAAGTCACAGCCAGCAGCGACCAACTTCAACACCAGCTCACAAAGAAAGATGAATAAGAAAACCTCAACAACTGCTGCGTTATTTCAAGGGAATTGAGTCTGCATTAGAAGTCACGCACTGCTAAATGCATGAAGAAGATACCATGTGTATGTGCACATATATATATATAGAGATGTATATATATATACATGATATATGTGTATATGTATATGTGTGTGTGCATCTAAATATTTCAATATCAACACACATGTATGCATATTTACATATATATATACAAAAATACATGCATAAATACATTTATATGTTTTTACATATATACATTTGTGTATATATATATATAACATGTGTACAAATATACATATAGAAAAATGTACATACTTTCATTGAAAATTACTTTACTTCGTGTGATCCCCACCATGACATTTATACATTTTCTTACTGGCAAATCTTCTGGCATTCTATCTGACATATCTTCTGACATTCAATTTGGCATTCTATCTGGCATATCTTCTGGCATATGATCTGGCATATCTTCTGGCATATCTTCTGTCATTCTATCTGGCAAATCTTCTGGCATTCTATCTGGCATATCTTCTGGCACTCTATCTGACATATCTTCTGGCATTCAATCTGGCATTCTATCTGGCATATATTCTGACATATCTTCTGGCATTCTATCTGACATATCTTCTGGCATATATTCTGACATATCTTCTGGCATATCTTCTGGCATATCTTCTGGCATTTCTTCTGACATATCTATCTGGCATATCTTCTGGCATATTTTCTGGCATTCTATCTGGCATCTTCTGGCATTCTATCTGGCATATCTGGCATCTGGCATATTATCTGGCATTCTATCTGGCATATCTTCTGGCATATATTCTGACATCTCTTCTGGCATTCTATCTGGCATTCTATCTGGCATTCTATTTGGCATTCTATCTGGCATATCTTCTGGCATTCTTTCTGACATTCTTTCTAACTTTCTTCTGCACATTCTTTGTCCCATATCTTCCCACATGAGGTCCGGCAGGGAACACTGGGCGGGGATGGTCGTGGTTGAGGTCCGGTAGGGAACACTGGCACGGATGGTCGTGGTTGAGGTCCGGCAGGGAACACTGGGCGTGGATGGTCGTGGTTGAGGTCCGACAGGGAACACTGGGCGTGGATGGTCGTGGTTGAGGTCCGGCAGGGAACACTGGGCGTGGATGGTCGTGGTTGAGGTCCGGCAGGGCAAACTGACATGGATCGCAGTGGAGCAGGAGGAGGACGAGGAGGACGAGGAGGACGAGGAGGACGACGAGGAAGAGGAGGAGAGGAGGACGAGGCAGGAGGAGGAGGCAACTGACATAAAATCTAACAACCCTCACCTGGCAGGTGGGGAAAAAACATATTCAGATATAGACCTATATTTGTACATACAGCTATGCATACTGCCAAAACCATACAAACATACATACATACATTACATACATTACATACATTATATACATACTTTACATACATTCATACATACATACATCCATACATACATACATACACACATACATACAAACCAATACATACCAATACATACCATTACAAACGATTACATACCACTACATACCATGACATACGATTACATACCAGTACACCCTGTAACATACCATCACATACCATCACATACCATCACATACCATCACATACCATTACATACCATTACATACCACTACATACCATTACATGCCATTACATACCATTACATACGTACATACATACATACATACCTACCTACATACGTACATACATACATGTTTACATGTTTTTCGTTTTTAGATAAACATGTGTTTTAATACATACACATCTACATATACACGTATATACACATTTGTATAATACGTTGAAATATGTTGACGTGTATACAAACTGCTTACATTTTGATGAAAATGCAAAAACACCTCAATACATGCATACACATACACATATATATATATATATATATATATACGCTTATAATACGCTTATAACTTATATACATATAGAGTACATGATTTATACGTATGATTAACGTCAACAGCAGCAGGCTTCTTCATTTTCACACAGCCCCAAGCAATAGTACAAACGGCTGCGGGTAAGTTGAATCGTTACTTAACAGCTTCAGAGTGCATTGGCATGCAGTGTCACTGCGGGCCAAAAACAAGATCAGGCTGTACCTGCCTGAGCTGGAGTCACCAACCAAGCCAGTCAGGCCATTTTGGCTTGAGATCCAAAATGCCACCAAGTGATTCAGAGTCAGTCATGTCTGTGCCACAAACATAATTTCATCACCGCTCCTGCCTACCTTGAATGAACTAACACATGCTTGATGTCAACAGCAGCAGACTTCTCCATTTTCCCACTACCCCAGCAGCAGCAGTAGAAACAGCTGCGATAAGCTGAATTGTTAGTTAACAGCTTCAGAGTGCATTGGCATGCAGTGTCGCTGCGGACCACTCAGATGGACCCTGTCCACCTCAGTGATACCCCGACCGGTTCCAGCCTCCCAGAGGCAAACTTCTTAAAACCCA